GTCTTCAATACCTGGGCTCAGGTGATCCTCCTGCCTCAGCCTTCCAAAGTGTGGGACTACAGGTGTGAGCCACTGCACTCAGCCTTCTCTTTTAATATAGGCATTCACAGTTATAAATTTCCCTTTGATCACTGCATTAGCCCCATTCATAAGTTTTGGTATGTTGTGTACTCATTTTCATTCACCTCAGTATTTTTCTTTTTTTTTTTTGTTGGAGTCTCACTCCATCGCCCAGGCTGAAGTGCACTGGCACACTCACAGCCACCCTAGCATCAACAAGCTGGGCTCTGGCAATCCTTCCGCCTCAGCCTTCCAAGTGGCGAGAACTACAGGCGCACACTACCATGCCTAATTTTTTTGATTTATTGTAGAGACAAGGTCTCGCCAAGTCGCCCGGGCTGGTCTTGATCCCGCGGGCTCAGGCAATCCACTTGCCTTGGCCTCCCAAAGTGCTGGGATTGCAGGCTGAGCCACCGAGCCCAGCCTCGTCTCACTATTTTCTTATTTCCCTTACAATTTCAGCTTTGACTTATTGGTTATTTGATAGTGTTGTTTGATTTCTATTTTTGAATTCCCAAACTTTCTTAATTATTATTATTATTTATTTTTTGAGTTGGAGTCTCACTTTGTTGCCCAGACTGGAGTGCAGTGGCTGCTCCCGGCCACCGCAGCCTCGACCTGCTGGGCTCCGGCGATCCTTCCGCCTCAGCCTTCCCAGTAGCCGGAATTACAGGTGTGTGCTACCACGCCTGGCTGATTTTTTGATTTATTGTAGAGATGAGGTCTCGCTGCCCAGGCGGGTCTTGAACCCGTGGGCTCAGGCAATCCACTCACCTCAGCCTCCCAAAGGCGCGGGATTACAGGTTGAGCCACCGAACTCGGCTCTTTCTTAATTATTGATCTCGAATTTTATTCCCTGTGGCAAGAGGATATATTTGTATGATTTCAGTCTTTTAAAATGTATTCATATTTATTTTATGGCCTAACATATGCCTGGAGAATGTTGTACTGAGAGGAGTATGTGTTCTGCTGTTGTTGGGTGGAATGTTCTGTAGATGTGTTAGGTCTAGTTAGGTTCATAATGTTGTTAAATGTTTTCTTGCTGAACTTTTGTCTAGGTTCTATCCATTATTGAAAGTGATGTGTTGGTCTCTAACAATTACTGTTGAATTGTCTATTTCTCTCTTCAGTTGTCTGGTTTTGCTTTATATATATGTGGGCTCTTCTTCGGTACATTAATGTTTATAATTGTTTTATCTTTTTTTGGATTGGTCCTTTCAATGTTATAAAATATCTTTTGTCTCTAGTAACAATTTTTGTCTTGAAGTCTTTTTCTGGTATTAATGTAGACCTCTCCATTGCTTTGGTTACTATTTGCCTGGTATAACTTTTTCCATCCTTTTACTTTCAACCTATTATGTATCTTTAGAGTCTAAAGTGTTTCTTGATATAAAGCGTATATTTGGATTGTGTATGTTTTAAATACATTCCGTCAATCTACATTGAGCCAATTTACATGTAATCACTGATAAGCTGGGATTTACATCTGCCAGTTTGCTATTTGCTTTTTATGTCTTAGGTCTTTTTTTGTCCTCCATTTCCACTATTACTGCCTTTTTTGTGTTAGGTATTTTGTTTTGTAACATTTTATCTCTGTCAGTACTTTTGCTATATGCTTTTTGGTTATTTTTTGGTGGTTGCCCTAGGGATTACCATTAACATCTTAATTTATAACCATCTAGTTCAGATTAGTATCAATTTATGTCACTTGTATACAAAAACCTTGTTTCTATATAGCTGTGTTCCTCCTTTATGCTGTTATTATTACAAATTACATCTTTATACATTGTCCATCTTAGATTTATAATTACTGCATTTACAGTTGTCTTTTAGATACTAACAAAAAACAAATATATCATTTTCTACATTTTCCATGTAGTTACCTTTCCTGGTGCTCTTTATTTCTCCATATGGATTCAGGTTACTCTCTAGTATATTTTCATTTCAGCCTGAAGGACTTCCTTTAGTATTTTATGTAGGGCAAGTTGGCTATAAATGAACTCTCTCAGTTTTGTTTATCTAGGAATGTCTTCATATCATCTTCATTTTTGAAGGATAATTTGGCCAAATATAAAATTCTTCATACACAATCTTTTTCTTTCAGCACTTTGAATATGTCAACTCACTGTCTTCTAGCTTCCATGGTTTCTGATGTCAGTTGTTAATCTTGAGAATCCAGTTGTCACTCTTATCTTGCTTTCAAAATTCTTTTTGTTTCTTCTTTTTCAGGGTTGATTGTGTGTACCGGTATGCAGCTCTTTTGAGTTTATTCTACTTGGAGTTCATTGAGATTCTTGAATGTGTAGATTAATATTTCCCCTCAAATGTGGGACATTTTCAGCCATTATTTCTTCCAATATTCTGTCCCTTTTCTTATGTGTATATTGGTATACTTGATGGTGTCCCAAAGGTCTTTGAGATTTTGCTCATTGTTCTTCACTCTTATTCTTTCTGTTCCTCAGATAGGCTAATTTCAACAGATTTATCTTCATGTTTGCTTTGTCTGATTCTTTGTCTGTCTGGTCAAATCTGCTATTGAACCTCTCTAATGAATTTCTCATTTCAGTTATTATACTTCTCAACTTCAGAATTTTTACCTTTTTTTCCCCTATAATTTATATGTCTTGTTATCCTTTGTTTGTTGGGACATTATTCTTATTCCTCCCTTTATTTATTTAGCTTCCTTTAGCTCTTTGAGCATGTTTAGAATAGCTGATTTAAAAATCTGATACTAAGGTAAAATGTCACAAAGCTTGCCATTCCTACTGGAATTCAACTGTTTTCCTCAATTGAAGATCTCTGAGTTGCTGCAAGCTTTGGTTAATTTCCAGAATTCTATGAAAGTTGATTCTGAAAATATGTAGCAGATTTTTCAATGATTTTATAAAAGGAGCAAACTTTCAGTGGTTCTTCCTGGACCATCTTTGCTGACCCCCTGTTAAGTCTTAATTCAAATCAACTAAAGGAAGATATTTTTGAGACAACTGGCAAAAACTAGACACAGACTAGTTATTAGATTATTTTCAAATTATGCTTTGTTAGTAAAAGTATATTAAGATCATATACATATTTAAACTCCTGTCAGAGATACATAGTGATATTTAGGATTATTTTAAGATTTGCTTTTTTTTGTTTGTTTGTTTGTCTTTTGAGCTGGAGTCTCACTCTGTCACCCAGATTGAAGTGTAGTGGCCGCTCCTGGCCACTGCAGCCTCGACCTGCTGGACTCCAGCGATCCTTCCACCTCAGCCTTCCAAGTAGCTGGAACTACAGGCGCGCACTACCACATCCAGCTAATTTTTGATTTATTGTAGAGATGAGGTCTCGCCAAGTTGCCCAGGCGGGTCTCGAACCCGCGGACTCAGGCAATCCACTCACCTCAGCCTCCCAAAGTGCGGGATTACAGGCTGAGCCACCGAGCCCGGCAAGATTTGCTTTCAAATACTCTGGTTCACAAACCAGAAGAGTGTATGTGGGAAGAGAGAGATTAAATAAAGGCACAAGTAGACGATTGAGCTGCATGATGGGTACGTGGAGGTTCACTGTACCATTTTATTTGTGTTTGAAGATTTGTATAATAAAAAGTTTTTAAAAAGAGAAGGGGTACCCTGGATCCAAACAAGGCTGCTTTGAAGTAAGAAAAAAGTTAATAACTGACCTTGAGTAGAAGTGAATAAAGCAATTTCCTGGAAGACTGTGTGTGTTGAAAGAATGAAGGGTGAAGAAGTAGAATAAACCGGGCACCCCCAGGACAACAGAACATGTTATACAGAAAGTAAAGACATGTAACTGTCTTGGTCTGAAAGGCAAAGGAATTGACTGGCCCAGTCCAGGCTCAACCCTGGCCCCCAACTTCCAAGTCCATGGTCTCAATTCTTATATTTCACCATATCCCAAGGTGGTGGGAAGTACTTCCTGGAGCTGGCAAGACATGTTTCCACATGAGACTGTTTATTCCATTTAGCTTGAACAGCACTATGGCCGAGACCCAAAGTTGGAGCTATGTACAGGATGACAGGCCTTCAAGGACAGAGGCCTGAGAAGAGGTAAGCTTCTGTCCTAAATTTCTCAACAACCTCAAAACATCAATTGTGGAAAGGGAGCTTTCCCTGGTGACTCTACATTTAATCAGTGACTCTCCAGTAATCTTAAATGACATTATACAATGACTGTAAGTTTTTACACCATACCTTAAAAACAAAAACTTCAAAACCCTGAAGGAAGGAGCACAAGAGATCCACCCAGAAGAGATCCCATGGACAGAACAGTGCAAGGCCTATGGCACAGCATGGTCCCACATTCGAGGCCCAAGGAGGACCTAGCTAGCCTGCTCTGCCACCAGATTTCCAGAGCCATCAGGGAAGACAGGCACCCTATATAGCCTTGGCTAAAAGTGGAGGGCTTGGGAAACAAGGATCAAAGTGAGACAGTCAGAGCCCATCGTTCTTTCATTTTGACTGTTACTCTGTCCTTAGGAGGAGGAGCAGGAAATAGATTTTAAGACACAAAGAACTCCTGGACTTGTTTGTGTACACAACTGGGAATTTGAATCTCCTCTGCAGCCAGATTGGGAGAGAGAAAAATAATAAAGAGAAAGAAGTGGGGGTGGAAGTGGAGCCACCAGAGAGCAGAGCAGGCTGAGGTGCTGGGCCAGGGGGCATTGCTGGGCGCAGCCCAAGCTGTGGTCCTGGGAGCATGGCTACTTGGCTTCCTTGTGTTGTCACTACCACCACTGTGCTAGGCAGAGTAGGGATAGCTCCTGGTGTGAGGCAAGTCTAGCATTTCTAGGAAGTATAATCTGCAGGTCACTTTGGAAAATGAGGGGTCAGAAGATGTCATACATCTTCCATAGAGGTGATACTTGAAACCAGTACTCTGTTTAGTGCTACCAGAGTTCTTAACTGAAGGTGCCCATGGCCCTAGGTCATTATTACAACTACTTGATTAAAAACAGGTTTATTGATGAATTAAGGGAGCCAAGGTTTCCTTTCCCCAGTAGCATCAGCCTGTAAGGCCTTCTATAGGTAGGAAAGCTGATCAAACGATTCATGGGAGTTCCTGGTAAGAGGTCAGATTTCTCTACTCCTAATTAGAAAAATTCCAAATCGTGATTTCAGAATCAACAACAAGGTCAGAGGCTAGAGTCCTGATAGGCATGGGGCTCAGGAGGCCAGAGCTGTTCAGTAACACCTGTGTGGCCATGCATATGAGGTAGAGGCCAGGAAGGCCACAGGAAATTGCCCTAAGAGAAGTTTCCAAAAGGGCTTTTACACTTGGGCAGGGCATAGAACCTGGCTCTGAGATTGTACTTTGGGTATGATGAGGTCAGGCCACCAAGTTAGGCCTGGGGAGCAGAGAATCCTGCTCACTTGCCCTTGGCATGCTGAGGCTCCATGGTCTGGGCTCAGTGGTGCCACCACATTCTGTCACATGTCCCAGCTCCTTACTGCTGGAACATTTCCAGGTTCTTGATGGGATACAGGTACCACATGACTACTCCTGAAGGGTTGATGATCACTGTGAAGTTGGTTTCAACCCGGAGGTCACTGATGACATCACCTGAGTAGACATCCTGGGCCTGCAGTGGGGAAGGACATCACCAATGCCACTATGAGAATAGCTGCACAGAGACGCCCTCAAAAGATGTAGAAGACTTCTGCTTGGACTTTGGCCTACTTTGCTGGGACTCCAGTATGCCCTACAGAAGTGGGAGCCCTGAATCTCCCATCATTTCGCCACTAGCAAAGTCAACAGATGCCCAAACACAGGCGGTGGAGAAAGTCCCAGTCCATGGAAAACCTTGAGGAATGTGCCAGCAAGGGCTGGCCCATGAGGGTAGGAATACGGCCCTAGAGGTTAACAAGACTACTATTTATACACAGTAATTGTATTTGCATAGTTTGAAAACACTGGTGCAGAGTACAGTATCAGCCACAGTCCTCAGTGACAGCACCTGCCCCATGGGCACCTGCCAGAGGGCCTGAAGGCCATGCCTCGGGAGGCCGTGTATGAGCAAGGACCACCTCCCGCCCTGCCCGCCCAGGGAAACCTGAAGTCCCAAGTCTAGGCTGGTGGCTGCAAGCAGCAGGGCACTCACCTCATATATTATGGACCTGCTGAAGTTCAGCTGGGCAAGGGAGGAGTGGTAGTGATAAGGCATATCCGTCCTGCGGCTGAAGAAGACTAAGGCACTGGCCTCACCGGACAGGGGCCGCATGTACACTTCAATATGAGATTTGTCCTAGGCACAAAAGATGACTACTGGCGGGGTCCCTTGTTCAGATAGGTTGGCAAGTTGCCTTCTGGGCCCTCCCTGAGCTCTGGGTCCCCCCAGCTCACAGCTCCATATCACACAGGCTTAGGGAAGATGCCACAGCCCTCCAGCACCCCAAATTATCTAACCCTACCTGTCTTCCTTGACTCAACAGACACCAACACCTACTCTGAGCCAGGCCCCCATGCTGGGACACAGAGACAAATGCATGAGGTCCTGCCTCAAAAGCATGTAGGATAATGGAAGGGATAAACACAAAAATATGGAAGAAGTGACAGTACAGCATGAAAGTGCTGACCTGAGACACCTGCCAGTGCTGGGCTGGAGGGTGCTGTCCAGTGGGAATAATGAACTGCTCTAGGAGGGTACCCAGTAGAGCTGGAAGTGAACTCTCATGCTCCCCATCCTCCAGAAGGTTCTCCAGGCCCAGTTCCACCACCAGCCCCTCTGTCCGGGATTAGCTACCTCCTCAGCATCACCAATTCTACAGGTGCCTTTATACTTCCGTAGATTTCTTTTTACTAGAGAGTCAGGAATTTGACAAAGAGCAAAGGCTTTGAGGAGATGCTGTTGGAGTTCAGTCTTGTTTGTATCAGCCTTGGGGTAGAGTTACTCACAAGTTTTTTTAAAGACTGTCTTGGTCTGCCACACAGCCCGGAGTGCAGTGACGCAATCATAGCTCACTGCAACCTTGAACTCCCGGCCTCAAGTGTCCTCCTGCCTCAGCCTCCCAGAGCTTGGATTACAGGTGCTGGCCACTGCACCCTGCTTATTTTTATTTATTTATTTTTAGAGATGAGGATCTCACTATGTTGTCCAAGCTGGTCTGAAACTCCTGGCCTCAAGCAATCCTCCTGTTTTGGCTTCCCAAAGCATTGGGATTACAGGTGTGACCCACCATGCCCAGCCTCAACTTACTTAGAGTCTTGAAGTTTCAGTTTCCTCATCATTTGTAAAACAGGGAAAGATATTTACTTTGATGAGAGAATGTATCTAGAATGCCCAGCACATGGTAGGTACTCAATAGTAGACACTAGTAGTAGTAGTAGTAGAATTCCTTGGCTAAAACAACTCCTTACACCCTGGAGGGAAACCCTCATTCTCTATAGGCTATTACAGGTGTGTGCAGAAGCCCTGTACCTCGCTGATCTCATATACACTTAAGTGGTGATACCTCTCCTCCCTGACTCCTGTGAGCTGTCCAGTTCTGTCCCTGCTCTCTTATCCAGCAGGAGAAGGGCTTTTGGAGCAGCTCCCAGCAGAGTCTGAGGAGCGGCCCCGGGGGGGAGGGCTGGGCAGCTCCCACATCCCAGGTGACCTCCAGGCTGGCAGCCTTATCTCAAGGGTCCCCTTCTCTTCCTCCACACCCTAGTACCTTGTAAATCCTGCGTCCCTGGATGCCTAAGTGATCCTGGTTGATTTTGATCATGAGTGGATTCTGCAGAATGTCCATGCTCTGAAAGGAGATGGTACGCAGGTCTGTGGACATGAAGAGAGGGGCTGCCAGCACTGTCCACAGGGCCATCTGGGCTCGGGCTTGCTCGAAGCTGAGGCCAAAGTTTCCAATGAGCAGCTGGGGGCAGAGGAAAGGAGTGGTCAGCTCTGCTCTCCTCAGGGAGGTGGGCTCAGAGGCCAGCCCCAAACTTGCAGTGGAGGCAAGAACAAACAGACTGGAGAAAGACAGCTACATGTGGGGAGTCCATCAACAAACACAAGGGTGATAATATGCTCTGGCTTTATCACAGGTTGTTCCGATGATAAGATGAGATCCTACTGCCAAAAAGTATATTACCTAGGATATGCAAGTCAAGAGATACTCCAGGGTGGCAGTGGTAGAAAACAGACCCAAAATGAATCCCTGTGCTTGCCAATGGCAACCCACTTGCCCTAGCCACAGCTGAACGGGCCTGGGGTGACTTCTGACCTCAGGGCAACCATTCCATAGTCAGGACACAAATGATTACTGCTAAGGCAACATGGTTACATGATGAATGTTAACAATTTAACTAAGCACTGTGTATGTGCCCCATGCTGTGCCAAGCATTTTTTTTTCCTTTTTTTTTTGAGTTAAGGTCTCACTCTATCGTCCAAGCTGGAGTGCAGTGGCACATCATAGCTCACCACAGCCTCAAACTCCTTCCTATTTTTTTGTAGAGATGAGGGCTCACTGTGTTGCCTAGGCTGGTCTTGAATTGGGCTCAAGCAATCCTCCTGCTTCAGTCTCCCAAAGTGCTGGGATCACAGGCATGAACCACTATACCTGGCCTGCGCCAAGCATTTTAAAGAATTATTTCATTAAACCTCAAAACAACCCTATATAAGGTAGCTACTATTATTATTCTCATTTTGCAGTTGACAAAACAAAAAAATTAACTTGCCCAAGGTAAGTGGCAGAAGTGGAGCTGGGACTCCAAAGCAGGCCCATTCCTGCTCCACCAGGCTGCCCCCTCCACCTTGTAATTGCTGGTAGTAAATGCTGGTTGACTAAGTGAACAGATAGCTATAAAGCTATAAGATTAGGTGCAAAAAAAAGTCACCAGGGCCATGACTGAGATAGGATCAAGGGGCTAGAAGCAGGACTGAACGCCAGTCATGTCTGTGGAGGGCGGGGCAGGGCTGGACAGATTTTGCAGAACAATAGAGTGCGGGGCATTGAAAGAGGAACCAGAGACTGATGGTGAGAGGGCAGTCCAGGTACTAGGAAGGAGAGTATGGAATGGTCGTGATCTTCACCCTGCAGAGAAATAGCATCTCATGCGAGGGTCACTAGAGACCAAGTTCTTGCACTTTAAGAAACATCAAAACTGGGGAGATGACCAACAATGGGCATTCTCAGGTCCTTCTCCTGAACATTCTGATGCAAGAGTTGGGGGGGGGTAGAGCCCTGGAGATGGAATTATAAACAGGCCTCCAAGTCAAGTCTCATGCAGCCACTTCAGGGACATATTTTGGAAATGCCAACCTAGAACCTGGCAGTGAGCATCCAGGGAGGAAGAGAGCACAGGGCAATAAGGAGCAGGGCCATCATGGTTGGTGGTTTAGGGACATCCCCCTACACTCTGGTACCATGTCTGGGTCGTTCCAGTGCCCAGGGCCAGCCACTGGCTGCAGTATGTCCTGGTATTGCACAAACCAGTCCAGAATGGAGAGCACGCTCTTCCAGGAGTCCTGGATATCGTCATAGTTACGCCAGAGATTGCAGATGTCTGCCAGCAGAGTGTAGTTCACCTGGATGGTGGGAGAAGGCAGAGTACTCAGCACAAGAGTCACACCCTGCTGTTCAGAGTCCCACACAGGGCTGGGGAGGTTCAGCAGGAAACAGAGAGGGGTCTGAGAAGAGGTTCCACCAACTTGTTCAGAACAAGGAAGGCCTCTGAGGAGTGGCCCTGCTCTGGGCTTCCTGGTATCCTCTCTGTCCGTTCTGGTGCCAGGAGCCTACTCTGTCCTCTCATGCCAGCTAGGATCAAGCTGAGGGTGTGGGACCAGGCCGACGCACCCACAGCCAACCCTCCCCACCATACCCATGCCCACACTTCAGTTTACTCAGTGAGCGCCCACCATCTCAGCATTCCTTCTCAGGTCTGCAGGTCTGAACCCACCTTTCTAGTGTCATACATGCTGAGGGGCCCCTAATGAGGAACCCACAGGGTACTCTTTCAAGGCTCAGCCCCACCTGCCTGGCCTCACCAACCTCTGGTTCTCCTAGCCCACTGGGTACAATCTAGCATTCTGACCACTTGCTGGATGTTGTGTGCTGGCACTTGTGGCTCTGCTGCCTTGGATGCCAGCTCCTTTAGTCCTGTCTCCAATGCCATCCCTCTGGGATCCTATGGGAAGATCTTCTCTAAGACCCTGAGCTGGCTGAGCTCAACCCCTCTTTGGTACTACTACAACTGTCTCTCTAGATACAAACCAGCATGTAGGCAACTATGGTGAGAGCAGCCCTGGCTCTGAGGCCTGGGTGTGGGAAGCACATCAGACAAGGTGCAAATGGCTTACCCTCGGGGGAAGGCCCCCTTCGTAGGCTGGCCAGCTGCAGGAGAAGGCAATGGGGCGACCCGTGGCATTCAAAGCAGCAGCCATCTTGGGGTACCCTGGAGAAAGCCCAACCCATTTCAGGACTGAGGAGATGCAGGGGGCAATCTGGGGCCTCAGCCCAAACCTTTTCCCACCAAAATGTGAGGAGACAGAGCCTCCAAAGAATGGGTGCCCTCCCATGTACCCAGAGCCTCAAACACTTCCTGGGTGAGCCATGGTGCCACCCCATATTTAGGGATCCTGGAAACCACAATCTCCCTAGTCCCTGGGTGAGGGAAGTTGGGAAATGCCACCTCTAAGGGCAATTCAGGCACTCCACACTCAGCCATGTGGGCACTTGGTGGACCTTCCATGGCCACCCTCACCCCACCTGGGTGCTCCCAGCCAGTTGTGTAGCTCACCTATGGCACGTTCCATGGGGGTGGAGAAGCAGCCATCCAGCTTCAGCATGTCTACCTTCCACTCAGCGAAGGTCTGAGCATCTTGGTCTACCTTGTCTAGTGTGGTGCCTGGGTAACCCATGCAGGTTAAGTTGCCTATGTCCTCGTAGATGCCCAGTTTCAGGCCTAGGGAGTGAGCCTTTAGAAAAAGGGCGTGAGGACACAGTGAGCTCAGGCAGGACCCTCAGGGTACTCCTCATAGGCACATCTAATCAGGCCCCATTAAACCCTCAGTGGCTCCCACTGACGAAAGAAGAGGGTCCCAGCATGCTGACTTGGCCTCTGCCAGCTATGGTGCACCCTTCCCCCCAACATACAGACTTCCCAGGGGCTGTTTCTTGTCCCTAGGCCTTTGCCCTGCCATCCCCTCTGCTTCTAATGCCAGCCCTCTAGGATCAACTCAAGAACTGCCTTCTCTAGCGAACCTTCCTAGATTCCTAGGCTGAATAAAATACCCATTCTGGCTTTCACCCACAGCAATGGACCAGAAGTAGGTGTTCATTTGTCTGTTTCCCCCACCAGGCTGTAAGATCTAAAGTGGACGCCAGGCGCAGTGGCTCAAGCCTGTAATGCCAGCACTTTGGGAGGCCGAGGCGAGAGGATTACCTGAGCTCAGGGGTTTGAGACAAACCCGAGCAACTTAGGGAGAACTTGTCTCTACAATAATAATAATAAAAAAAGATTTCAAGCGGAGATTGTGTAAATGAGCCCTAAGCAGGGTGGAGGGTAGAGTGAAACAGTGGTCTAGCCCTTAGGCCAAGGGGCAAGGCTGGGGTGGGGCTCACATAGTCAGCCAGGAAGGAAATGCCGTGAGGGAAGCGCTTGGGATCAGGCACCAGGTAGCCGCTGGCATCGCGCCCACCGATCCAGCAGTCATCAATGTTGAGGTATGTGTAGCCCAGGTCTCGCCATCCATCCTGTGCCATCCTGTCAGCCATCTCCATGAAAAGTCGCTCACTAATGCAGGGCAGGGTATGGGAAATTCAGTAGCCCGGCCTGGCCTACATTTTTACCCACACCCCTTCCTCAGCTCTGAGTGAATCTGAGCCATAAAAAACCTGTTCTTGCTGAGGACTAGGCCAGGCAACAGTATAAATGAACACCATTGATTGTGTCATGGGCCATAGCAAGTTGGGACGAAAGGAGCGGTCTGGTTCCCAAGCAAAGGGGTAGGGCTGGGTCAGGGGAAGCACATGGGCCTGGTTTTATAGTTATCTCGGGGCGGGGTCCATGAAGGGTTCTTGCCTTATGAACTGCCTGGGGCCTGACAGCTCCAGAGAGGCCCCAAGCAGGTCATGAGGCTAGGTGTCAGATAGTCCAAGTCACTTCTGGCTGTAATCTCTGGAATTGGTGGCTCTGACTTTGCCCTCTTTTCTAGCTGACTCTCTACTTCCTGCCCCCACTCTGTAATGCCCTGGACAGGACTTGTCAGGTAGGTGTGGACTCACCTGATACAGTTCTTTGGGTCCTCATCACAGTTAGTATTGCAGCGGAAGCGTTCCCAGGCCAGCCAGCCCATGGGCGGCGTTCGCAGGAGCCCATTCTCCAGCATCAGGACCTGGGCCACCAGCACCAGCAAGGGCACTGGGGTAGGAATGGGGATGGTGACTCCCACAGCTCTGGGCCTCATCCCAACCTACGCTGCTTAGCCGTGCAGGCTGCTTGCCTGCCTATATACTAGGGAACCAGACTCCTGGGTTTAGGGTAGAACTGGCTTTCCTGCAATGGCTGGTTCCTGCAGTGTTTGGGGTTTGGTTCTCCACTTGCTATTGTCATAGCAATGCTGGAATTAGCTAAACGAATATCTGAAGTCATATCCTTCCTGTACCCTTGATCAACTCCTCCCACCCTGTACACAGAACTTAATGGTACAGATGCTCCTAGACCAACCATAGGGTTACCTCCCCAATAAACCCATTGTAAGTTGAAAATATGGTAAGTCAAAAATGCACTTAATACACCTAACCAAATGTTATAGCTTAGCCTCGCCTACATGAAATATGCATGCTGAGAACACTTACATTAGCCTACAGTTGGGCAAAATTACCTAGCACAAAGCCTATTTTATAATAAAGTATGAATAAAATACTGTAGTTTTTTTTTTTTCTCCTTAAGTTGGAGTCTCACTCTGTCACCCGGACTGGAGTGCAGTGGCTGCTCCCAGCCACCGCAGCCATGACCGGCGATCCTTCCGCCTCAGCCTTCCAAGTAGCTGGAACTACAGGTGCACGCTACCACGCCAGCTAATTTTTGATTTATTGTAGAGATGAGATCTCGCCAAGTTGCCCAGGTGGGTCTCGAAACCGCGGGCTCAGGCAATCCACTCACCTCAGTCTCCCAAAGCGCTGGGATTACAGGGTGAGCCACCGAGCCCGGCTTGTACTTTTCAATAATTTATTGACTACAGTAACTGATTGAATACTGTACTGAAAGTGAAACAGAATGGTTGAATGGGTATTCAAAGCACAGTTTCTATTCAAAGTCCTGTTTCTACTGAATGCATGTCACTTTCACACCAGTGTAAACTCAAGAAGTCCTAAACTGGGGAACAGCTATACATTGTGGCCAGACTCCACATCTCTTGAGCCCTAGTCCAGGACTCTTTGCTCTCCACCACAAACCTTCAAGAGGCCTCAGAAGGCTTAAGAGGTCAGCCAGGTTGGACCTGCACCCAACCAGCTCACCTAAGTGAGCTCTTTCCATCTTGAGCCTTAGTCCCTTGCCTTATCTATAAGATGGAGTTATTGTATGGACTTTACAGGCTGTTCACAACACATATTCATATCACATCAGATAGGGCCTCTGGACTTGGGGGAGTGAGAAAGAAAGAGGCCTCTTTGGAGGGGAACTGATTCCTTGGGGAAGTGGTAGCATCTTCTTTCCTGGCCTAGCTCCAAGAAAAAGAGAGGAACCTGTCACCTGGCATACTCATAACAGGGAAGAAAGATCAGACACCAGAGGTCTGGAACTTCCTCCATGTAACCCTCACCCCCACCCTCCCAAAGCCATCCCTGCCCATGTAGGTACCTGTTTTCAGTAACATTGCTCCAGACACAGCGTCTGAGGACCCGACCAGATCTGCTCTGCTTGTATCAGCTTTATATGTTGGGCTCTGAAAGCTAAGAAACGTTAGAAAAGCACTGGGGCACGACCGCCTGGCTGGCCTTGCAGCCCTTAACCTTAGGCGTGGATCTCACATTCGGTCCCCAGTGCCCTCACTACCCTACCCCCATCTCCAGCCATCACTTCTTGTAGCTTGTATTCTTCCTTCAGAAATCCTAAACAAGGTGTCTTGGACGTTAGAGCTCACCTCCGCTGCAGTGCTGAGCCCCGAGCGCCTAAAGACGGCCCTCTGCCGGCCGGGGTCAGAAAGGGGACAGTGACCGGCTCGAGGACGCCCAGGAAGAAAGAAGACGCGCGGCTGGGACCGGGCTCCGGACTCCACCCGGCTGCGAGTTCCCGTCCCTGACCCCTAAAACCGCAGAGCCCTCGCCCGCCGCACTTACGTTTCCGAAACGCTCAGATCCGCGGCCCACTTCTGACTCCAGAGCCACCCTCCGCTCCAATCACCTGACGAGCCTACCACGTTCCACTGGGGGCGGGGCTTTACGGGCCCCAACCTTCCGGCGCAACCTATCAGAATCGCCCTAGCAACGCCGTGCCCCGCCTCTTACAGGCTCAATCTTTCCACCGTCCCGCCCCTAGCCTCTCTAAGCCCCGCCTCTTTGAGCTCCGGCCCTGTGCCCTCCCAAGGCTGGCACCAACTGAGCGGGCTCTGGGACCCGCTGCCCTTCGTGTCTGGGGTTCCCCCCACCAGGCTAGTCCTTTCACCCCTGTGGGACCATGAGGGCGAGGATCGAGCTCCGCACACTGTAGGCGCTCAGTAAATAGCTGTGCAGCCTGTACCTGCGGAGGCTTTGTTTAGAGGATATGAGAGAAGGTCCTCAAGCAACGCCCTTAGTGAGCTGCTCAGAAACGGAAGTCGAGGATTAATAGACTCTAGGAGGAAGATGAATGGGAGAAAGCAAAGCACGCGGGAGGCTGTTTTTTGTATTTTCTTAGAGACAGGGTCTTGCTCTGTAGCCCAGTCTGGAGTGAGTGGCAGGATCCTAGCTCACTGCAGCCTCAAACTCCTGGGCTCAAGTAGATTTTAAGGCCCAGCCTCCCAAAATGCTGGGATTACAGGCTGAGCCTCTGCACCAGCTCCCTGGCTTTTTTTTTTTTTTTTTTCCCCTTTGGTAGAGATGGTAGCCAGGCTGGTCCTGAACTCTCCTGGCCTCAAGTGATCCTCCTGGCTCAGTCTTCCAAAGCGCTGAGATTGCAGGTGTGAGCCAACAGGCCGACCCATCAAGTATTTACTGAGAGACTACTAGGTACCAAATACTTTGTTATGAGCACTGTAGGATCAGAAAGATGTGATAGTTTTCTGCACCAATCCTAAGAGTCACGGTGGACACTCCTATAACAAAAGACAGGTTAACAAAAGAAAAGCATAACAGATGTATTTAATCAAAGTTTTACACGACATGAAGACCCAAAGACTCAGGGAAAACTTTATTTTTATGCAATGGAGAATGGACAGCTGTGTAGAAATGTTATTAGACAAAAGGGAATGACCTAATGGTAATAGACTGAATGGAGAAACCCTGTAAGGTGTATCTGTTCAGATTCTTCTTTGACTTTCGTGTGGCATTCTTTCACCCCAAGTATAAGGCAGGACCCCACTGAAATAAGAGTCTTACAACCTACAATCAGACTTACAGTCAGAGAATTTCTTTATGGTTAGCTCTTCCATGGAAAGGCAGAAGATTTGAGTAGTAATTTGAGTTTCTATAACCCACCTTGGGGAAGAGGAATTCTAGTTTCTATGGCCTGCCTTAGAAAAGAAAGAAAAAGGGAAGCTGGAGAAAGAAGAGCAGCAGAAGGTCAGAGAGACTTTGCTTCTGTGGCCCTTCCGCTGTCCTTCACTTCAAAGTACTCAGCATGCCCAAGCACTATATCTTGGGGTATCATTTCCGAGCCCCAACAGCACCTTCACTTGGATGGCCACTGGACATTTCAAACATAATGAGCCCCAGACTCGTTATGCCACCTTCCACATCTCAGGTAATGACAACTCTTTCTAGGTGCTCGAGCCAAAACCTGGGAGTCCTCCTGCCTCCTCTTTCCCTCACTCCCCCGTATCCAATCCCTCAGCAACTCCTGTGCTCTCTCCCTTCAAAATCCATTCCAAATGTAGCCACCTCTTTGTCTCACTGCTCTTGCTGCCTGCAGTGCCAAATTGTCAAAGACTCCAAAAGGGGAGGCATATGTCCAAGAGGTGGAAGAAATGACCCGGAGACAACAGATCAGACATGAGCTTTATTCAGGAACTTACTTATAGGGAAAGTGGTCCCGGAACTGCTGACTGACAGGAAAAAACCGCTCCCGATTGTAAAAGGCACACAGGTTATATAGCTTTTTACACAGGGTAGATGTGGGGTTAAGCATTTAAAGGGCAGGGTTTCTAGTGCACAGGTCCAGTGTAAGAACGTGCTTATGTGAGGGAGGCACCAAAAACCCCCCTGAACTTATTTATAAAAAATTGTGTATTTATTCTTACATGTTTAAACTTCAATCACCTACAAAGTACTCTACATTTGATGCAATACACTTACCAAAATGCTTTTTTACAGTGCTCAAAACAGGTTTTTTTTTTTTGAGTTGGAGTCTCACTCTGTCGCCCAGGCTGGAGTGCCGTGGCACGCTCCCGGCCACCGCAGCCTCGACCCGCTGGGCTCCGGTGATCCTTCCGCCTCAGCCTTCGAAGTAGCTGTAACTACAGATGCACGCCACCATGCCTGGCTAATTTTTGTGATTTATTGTAGAGACGGTCTCACCAAGTTGCCCAGGCTGGTCTCGAACCCCTGGGCTCAGTCAATCCTCTCGCCTAGGCCTCCCAAAGTGCTGGAATTACAGGCTGAGCCACCGTGCCCAGCCTCAAAACAGTTTTTGAACTCATCAATTGTGATGCCTTTTGGTGCTTCTGCCCCTTTTTGTTTCACTTCTTTCACATCAGGAAAATGTTTCCTTTTGAGGACTTTTTCATCTGGGGAAACAAACAAACAAAAAAGTTGCAGAAGGCAAGATCAGGTGAATAGGGAGGGAGGGGCATGGGAGTCATGCTGTTTTTGGTCAAAAACTGCTGAACACTCAGCACAGATTGGGAGGTGCTCTCCTAAATCACCCATCATGAAATGGGCAAACACTTTGAAAGAAACTAAAAAAAAAAAAAATTCACTAAAGTCAAATGCAACCTCTCACAACAACGCTAACTGGTTCACTAATGCCGATGGGTGACTAGAACATTTATCTAGCGGGGGAAGCCTGTACTACAAGGGGCTCAACCTCAAGAAGATAATTCTGGGATTTTGGGGCTCCCCTTTGTACATAGGATGCATGGCCACGGTTTCTTTCTAGGGATGGAAATGTCAGTCTTGTAATGAACCAATGGTGAACTAAAGGCAACCAAAGATTATGGGCATTGATCCAGGTGTGTGGCTCTGGTGTGAACCAGCCCAGAGGGCCCGCTGCTTCAAGGAAGGCACATGAGAACATTCACTATGCATAGTTGCAAGATGTGGTCAGCAGGCATGGAGAACACTGCCCATGGCCATAGCATGACCTGTGTGCCCAGGCATGGAGGGTGAGGGGAACAGGACACCCTGGGTTGGCCATCCCCAGGATCCTGCCCCCGGCTCCAACCCCCTGCTTGGGGCCATACCCAGGGTATGCTCATGTTGTCACTGAGTGTGTGTTGCCCCACCTCACCCTCATCACATTTCACCTGGATGATAGCAGCAGGCTCCTCATACATCTCCTGCTTCCACTCATATTCTCTCCACAGCAGCCTGAGTAATCCTCCTCACCCACAATCCTGTGATGGCTGCTCATCTTAGTCTGGAGCAACAGCCCTTGGATATTCAAAGCCCCACCCTACCCTTTCTGAGCTACCTTCTACTGCCCTTCTACTGCCCCAAGCCTCCTAGCTACTCTGGCCTCCTGGCGGGTCCTCAAACACAATAGGCTGCAGGGCTATTACATTGGCTGTTCCCTCTGCCTGGAACACTTTCCTTCAGGTTTTGGCCTGGCTGGCTCCCTCATTTCTTTTAAGTATTTCAAATATCACCTTCTCAGTGAGGCCTATCCTGACCGTTTTTATTTAAAATTTCAAACTCATTCGTACAGCTCCCAACCTCCCTTACCCTGCTCTATTTTTTCCACACCACTTACTACCTTCTAACACATTTTCTATAATTTTTACTCTTTTTTTTGAGTCGGAGTGTCACTGTTTCCCAGGTGTGCAGTGAGTGCAGTGGCACGCTCACAGCCACTGCAGCCTCGACCTACTGGGATCAAGAGATCCTTCTGCCTCAGCCTTCCAAGAATCTGGAACTACAGGCATGTGCCTCCACGTTCAACTAATTTTTTTGATTTATTGTAGAGGCAAGGCCTCACCAAGTTTCCCAGGCTGGTCTCAACCCCTGGGCTCAGGCAATTCTCTCAACGCCACCTCCCAAAGTGCTGGGATTACAGGCATGAGCCACTGCACCCAGCCAATGTTTCATTCTTTTTTTTTTTTTTAATGTTGGAGTCTCTGTCACCCAGACTGGAGTGCAGTGGCAGGATCGTGGCTCACCACAACCTTGACCTCCTGGGCTCAGGTGATTCTTCTGCCTCAGCTTCCTAAGTAACCAGGACTACAGGAATGCATCACCAAACACTCAGCTGCTATTTCTTGATACCAATAAATTGAGAGACAGAGAACTGGCAGAAAGAAGTTTATTTCTGAATTCAGAATTCAGGGAGACAGAACCTGGCTCCTGGCATTTCTGGTTCTGGTTTGCTCACCCCTTAGGTTTCACAGTCTGTTTTTTATAAGTTTAAGGTTGCTGGAATCTATACATTGACTATGTGACAGACAGAGCATCATACAGAACTTAAGTTACAGTCACGTTTTGTCAATAGTAACAATTATGGTTCATATGTCCTGCAACTGGCTACCAAGAGGTAGCTCACAGTGTTATCAGTAACACCAAACTGAAGAGTTGATCAAGCTTGCCATAGAGTAAGGGAGTTAACAGAGCCTATGACAAAGTAAAACATTATTCACTATAACATATTGTTGATTAGTAGTTATAACACGCAGAAATGTATATAGATTACAAGACTTACGGTTACATGGGTGTTATATTTTCAAATCTATGATAAAAGGGTGTGAATAGAGATTAATTTCTCTCAGTTGAGCACAATCTGCAGGGAGTTAAGGATTCTTTGAAGTAATTTAATGGGGAATGTATAGGAGATAAGGGAATACGCTTTCTTTTGCTAATTCTCAGGTATGCAGGTATCTGCAGAGGCTAATTCTCAGGAATGTAGGTATGTGCAGGGCCCTTGAAAGTTATACCTTTCTTGAAGGGTTGTGGCAATATGGGCAGACAATAGTGGGTTTCCGCATCACCACCATGCTGGGTAATTTTTTTTTTTTTGGTAGAGAGGAGGTGTCACTATGTTGCCCACGCTGGTCTGAACTCCTGGCTCCAAGCAATCCTCTTGCCTTGGTCTCCTGGTGCTGGAATTATAGACGTGACCCATTGCACCCGGCTGATTTGTACTATTAATCGAATAAAATTTAGTTGGAGAGACAGACAGTAAACAGGAAATTAAAGCATCCTGTAGGGAAGTTTTCCTTAGAGGTTAGTGATATGATGGAAATACAACCCAGAGATGTGTTAGAGACTTGGGAGTCTATTTTACATGTTTTTTTTTTTTTTTTTGAGTTGGAGTCTCACTCAGCGGCCCAGACTGGACTGCAGTGGCCGC